TTTTTTTTTTTTTTTTTTTTTTTTTTTTTTTTTTTTTTTTTTTTTTTTTTTTTTTTTTTTTTTTTTTTTTTTTTTTTTTTTTTTTTTTTTTTCGAGATATAATTTGATCTTTGTGCGGCTGGGCCGCCCGAAAAAACAAGGTCGGTAGTAGAAATTAAAAATATAAATGTACATATATATAATATCAAGGTAACTCACGTTTGAGTTCATGCGATCTTTCGAACTCAACCGAACTGCCTAACCCAAACGCCAAAAAAATAAAATGACTTCAAAAAAAAAAAAAAAAAAACTACGTTATGCAAAAAGATAAACTGGACCACGTGTGCCCCAATGTTACATCAAAAATAGTTTTGAAATCTAAAAAAAAATAAAATTGTTTCTTATTTTATTTTCTATTTGTTTAGGTCCGGTCGAGGAAAAGGTCTCGGGCCGCTTTGGTAGGGAAGACTTTGTACGTTAGTTTTTCTCTCTCTCACGTGTGCACGTACGAAAACTCCTTCTGTCTCTCCCCGTCCCTCTCTTTCCCCATTGTTTCTGTCTTTCTCAAAATCTTCCCCTTCCGCTTTTTCTCCGCCCTTCTCTCTGTTTCGATTGCCTTTGTTTTTTCGTTTCCCCCTTCTCTTTCCGTGTCTCCGTCTATCTCTCTCTTTCTGACACACACACACACACACACACACACACACACACACACACACATACATACACACACACTCGCTCGTGTACGTGTGCTCTTTCACGCTTACTCAAACATACACGCACACACACACATACATGCACACATAGACACCCACGTACATTAAAGAGGTTTTAGAAAAAATAGAAATAAGAAAAAAAAATAAGTAAAAAACTGAGTGGGCGGGCGAACACTGTTTTACATCGTCGTCTTTATTTTTTTTTTTATTTTTTTTTTTAATATAAGCGAAATGGCCTGAAAATTTATATGCATATATTGTACATGCTAAAAAAAAAAAAAAAAAACTTAAAAACAAATGTAACTTTTTTGGGACTTCAAAATATTTTTAGTGGGGCACAAACTTTAGAAAGTTAGGCCTCCTCACGTTCGCACTCATGGTTAATAGGTGGTATAATTTTCAGCGATTTTTTCACCGAAACTATCATATTTTTTTATTTTTTTATGATATGTATGTGCTTTAGGGTATATATGTATTCAGTTTCAACGTATTTTGACCAGTAACGAAAAAGTGGGTAAACTCACCGAATTCGGAAAAAATTATGGCGAAGTAAAAAAAAACGACTCCGAAGATGGTTTTATGTTGATTTTTTTTTTCATTTTGTTTTGTCTTTTTTTTTTAATGTTTGTGTTATGAGTTTGCATGGTCTGCATGCAAAATTATGGACGACATTACTTATAGTAACGTGCCGAAAAACCCTGAATTTTGGGTCTTCCATTAACCATCTCTCATATTAAGGTTTACTTCTTTATGTTTCAAAATTAATTTTATGATAGATATTTAAGTTACAAGAGTCGCCTAGGGCAATTTATTTGACCACACACATATATATATATATATATATATATATATATATAGCACGCGTTTTGCTCCAAAGCGAGGAAAAATTGTAAATGTATCAAACCCTCGCTTTGAGGTTGGGTGAGGATGCGTTGTATTCGAGGGATGCCTGACGTGCATTTAGAACTGAAAACGTGACTGCTTTGTAGTTACCCCTTGAGAAAGTCTCAAATGCATAGACTTAGGAGTAGTGGTAGATAAATAGTGAAAGGTGAAATTGAGAGAAAAATATACCTTTTTCTCTACAAAGCCTTACTGCATGTAGTGGTTTATTACCTTACTGCATGTAGTGCCACTTACTCCAAAACTCTAGAAGCACTCTACATGACGACGCCAACTCGTTCTGACGGTGGGGGCAGGAGTCGGAGGCACACTCATGAAAAGACGAGGGCGGAGCGGGGGTAGGAGAGAGGACGCTAGAAGACCTGAGCGTTGCAGGATGTGAACAAATCGAGAGTGCCCCTCGAGAGCGCTTTGTGACAGCAAAATCTCAAAAAAAAGGGGAAAAGGCTGGTCACACGAATCTACCAAATTCAGGGCATACTCACACAGCGACCCCAAATTTGCAAAATATGCGGATTTGGGAAGGGTTGATTTGAGGTTTTGGGCATGGTTCACGTCACACTGCTGTACCTTTTCAGATGGGACAAGGCCGCAGCCGTCTGGAGAAATGGGGATTTGGTACTTAGCTGGTCACACAGTGCCATCCACCAATTGTGCAAGAACTTTTGTGAACAAATTTTTGCCAATTTTTGAAGAAAATGCAAAAAAAAAAAGGGGAACTCCCAGAGGTGACCGCAAAATCCCTTGCCCCGCGGCTTCCCAGGCCGCTGACAAATGGGCACTGGAATAGTACATTTGCGAATTTGGTAGATCCGTGTGACGGGCCTTTTCCCCTTTTTTTTGGGATTATAGGTCCCCGTGTGAGTATGCCCTCACAGATGTACTATTCCAGTGCCCATGGGAAGCGGCGGGGCAAGGATTTTGCGGTCACCTCTGGAGGTGACCCCAAATGCCTTTTTGTTTTTGCATTTTCTTCAAAATTTGGCACAAAATCGTTCACAGAAGTTCTTGCACAATTGGTGGATGGCGCCGTGTGCCCAGCCAAGTACCAAATCCCCATTTCTCCAGACGGCCGCGCCCTAGTCCCATCTGAAAAAGCACAGCAGTGTGACGTGAACCATGCGCAAAACCGCCAATCGATCCTTCCCAAATGCCGTGAGTATGCCCTAAGTGGAGCCAGGCGTCAGTCTAGAAACTTCGCGAGTCTAGAGTAGTAGAGCGAGGGCCTTTTTTTTTTTTTTTCCCCATGTCCTGCATGCCGTCAAGTTGCATAGAAAGTTGCATACAAGCATAGCACAGCCTTAGCATGCAGTACGACGGCCGGCCAGTTGCATGCTACCGTAGCATAGCACAGCCTTAGCACGCACTACTACTGCGCGCTGTCCTTGACAACGTGTATGCATATGATTACTTCAGCCGTCGAGAACGCGAGCAGTTACATGTGCGTGTAAGATTCGGCCACATGGACATGTAGAGCTCTCCCACCTGACACAACAGCTTTTGTCAAGATCGTCTCGCCGCACTACTACTCGCCGCATTTGCGACACGGAGGATGTACGTTGGGCTAGAAAGAAGAAAGAAACGCCCGCCATAACTTTTGCATGTACCTTGGTCTAGAAAGAGGAAAGATACGCCCGCCATAACTTTTGTTGTTTTCACATTCGGTGTCCGTCGAGGGTTCCCAGGGCCAAAGAATCTCAACCGGTCAGGGATAGAGATCTACGAACGCGGTTGATTTTGTCGTCACGTGGTGTTGCCGACCGACTGGCGGTTTTGACCTCTCGAGTGAGAGGTCCCTTCGGAAATGAGGACTGAACCAAAGGGCTGAATCTGGAGAGATGCATAAAATCGCGAGTGAGCCGGTCTTCTGCATCATCGAACAAAACACGTCCACATTCTGGCGCTTGTCAACCCCCCTTTTTTCCACGGGTAGTGGTACCTTGCCTCCCTGGAGGGCAGAAAAACGCGGTCGCTACAGTGGAAAAACGGAAAAGAAAGAAAACCGCCCCGCGCGCGGAGCTCCTTTCGTTCGTGGCTCACAGCTGCCGAGCATTTCTGATCGCCAAAGCGAACACTTTTAATCGCCATAGCCGTACCAGCCATTGCCATCCAGCCATTCGTAACTCTTCTAAGGCCGGCGCGGGGAGGCGGAGGTCCGATGCCGCAGTAGCCATCTCTCGCGCGCGCACACGTACGCTCGCACGGACTGTCCGCTTGCGACTCGGAAGGCGGGCGTCTATCGCGGAGCGGCTGCGGAGGCTCTCTGCCCGCTTGTGGAAGGAATAACCGCGGGTTTTCTGGTTTCCCCCCGCGCGCGACGAGCGTGCGTGCTTGCGCGCGTGCGTGCGCTTTGCTCGCCAGTGCCCGGCATCCGTCCTGCATTACCGGTATCATCGGCGCAATGGTGAAGGCCGTGGCATTGCTCTCTGGCACTGAGAACGTGAAGGGAGTTATCTACTTCAGCCAAGAAGGCGATGGTTGGTGCCCTTCCCTCTTCTCTTTTATGTTTGTTTTTGTTTTTTCTTTCCATCGAACTCACACCTCACGGCCCCGTCTATTGGTAAGTAAGTAGGTGCCCGTCTCGCCGTGCGCTTTCACTGAGCACGACTCTACTCTCTTCCTTCCTCTTCTTTCCTTCTGTCTTGATGGACTGCTAGTGTTGGGCCACGTGGCGTTCGTTTGAGACGGGCACCTACTTACCGCGTGGTGTTCGTTTGACGTTCTTTTTGCATGGTGTTCGTTTGACGTTGGGCCACGCTCCAGTACTCTCCAAATGTGCAAAATGAGAATGAATCCTCCGCTAGAACATGGAAAGATGCATTGGCGATTATTTTTGTCCTTTGTGCATGTGGAGAGTAGTGGAGCGAGGCCGTTTCTCGTTGCATTCCATTCGCCGAGATTTCTTCTTTGTCCCGGAGCCGATAGCTTTTGCGATTCCTCTCTCTCTCTCTCTCTCTCTCTCTCTCTCGCTCCACATCTCTCGTCAGTTAAATTGCATCATGAAGTAGAAGAGTGTGCTAAGGTGTGTGGTTGCTGGCGATGACGGTAGATCTCCCTCCTCTGCAACTCCTCCCTCGTCCTTGCTCTCCTCGCCCTCATGCACTCACGCTGACGCGCTTCTCTAACACCTTGCTGGACGGCCTCCGCTGATTGCCTGAACCAACACCAGGGTCGTAGCCTTGTCCCATCGTCGTTTCCGAGAGCTGCTCCAGGTCCTTAGCTTCTTTTCAAAGAACGTTTTGAGGCTCATCCATCACCCATCCATAGCCAAGCCTCCGCCATGGAGTCCCAATTTGTCATTGATTCCTTTACCGAAAACCAGGAGCAGCGTGCGTGTGTATGGTTGTGCTCTTTTCCTCTCCCTTCGGTGGTGGTTAGCCGGCCTGACGCGCGCTCTCGAATGAAAGGACCGTTTTCTTAAAATTTCCTCTTTTTTTTTTTTTTGGCTTTGTGTTGTTTTTTTCCACAGAGGTGCCCTTGGATGGTTGCTTTTTTTTGGTAGTCGTCGGGTGTGTTCACGTCCCAGAGCACATCGAACACTGGCTGAAGTGTTTTATCATTTTTTTGTGGGGGTGTCGGACGCTCTCTAGAGTGCGAAGGTTGTCGCACGCTCTTCGCCTTCCCTACTACCGTCTTCACCCGAATAGAACGCCCGGTAATATTGCCTTATCTGGACTGAAAGTTGCTCCAAATACGGCTATAATGACCGGGCGTTCTATTCCGGTGAAGACGGTAGCGAGAGCACGACCGAAGCTGTGCTCCCAAAATGTGCAAAATGAGAATGAATCTTTTGCTTGAATATGGAAATGTGCATCGCCATATTTTGTCTTTTTTGCATCTCGATCGCACTGGAGCGAGGTCCTTTACTACGTCTGCGGTTTCTCCCGCGAACTAGTGCTGATATGGTGTTCACTGTAGGGATGTTGAGAGGCGATTAGACGGACATACTTATTATGCAAGGGTTTCTTGAATATTTCAACCGCGAACTCGTGCTGATATGGTGTTCACTGTAGGGATGTTGAGAGGCGATTAGACGGACATACTTATTGTGCAAGGGTTTCTTGAATATTTCAACTGAAAAAAAAAAGTAAGAAAAAATAGAGGTCAGGTCTTCCGTTCCCCTCGGGTCTTTTTTCTTTTTTCATGCGTGGCCATCTAAAAAAAAAAAAAAAAAAAAAAAAAAAACCAAGAAAAAGCCTAAAAAAACCATAACCGAGGTTTAAGGCTAGGGTAGGGTACCGGTGACCTAATCAAGAAAGTAAAATAGCAAGCATAGGGGGGGCTAAAAAAAAAAAAAAAAAAAAAAAAAAAAGAAAGGTTGCGTGTTTTTGCTGATTCCGATGTATCTTTGGGCCGTTTGTGTGGATTGGGTTGGGATGTGTTTGTACTTGATTGAGACTGCGAATCCGTTTGTCCATTGGGCGCACTGATCAGCTCTTCCGTCTGGACTACGTGCTTGCGTTCCGTTTTGTCTCCGGTTGTGAATCCGTTTTTTTTTTTTTTTTGGTCTGACTCCCGGTTTGCTTGAATCCGTTTGTACACCTGAGAACAATGCAGTAGATTGGGTTCAAATCCGTTTGTACATTCCGTGGACTGATCAGCCCTTCCGTTTGATTTCTCATGCTTAGCCTACCGTTCTTCTTTTCCACGGCCGTCGGCCGCCATACGTCGCCCTTCATGAGAGGACCGTTCAACTTGTCTTCAATCTCTGTCCATTCTGGTTTCACTCAGCGTGCGTTGGCTTCTCTCCATTTTCCGAGTAGACTTTGTTCTCGCTCTGCGGATTTCGGCCTCTATAATTCTCTTCCTCTTTCTTTCTCTCCTTTCTCTTCTTTCCTTTCCCTCTCTTTCTCTCCTTTGTCTCTTCTTTCCTTTCCCCATCTATGTTATCCCCTCTGTCGTTGCCCTCCCTCGTCTGACAATATAATCTGTCTGCTGCAATGCTCTCTTTTCTGTGTTTTTTTTCTTTTTTTTTCGCTGTTTTGAAAAGGGTGACGGCCTTGAGATATGATCGTCAAACTGACCGGCCCCAGGTTATTCGAGGACTTGTAGTATTCTTGTCATTTAACTTCGGTGGAGTACGAACTCAGGTCGGCGGAGGATCTCACGGATGTGGTGTGTTGACGAGTTAAGTCCTTGCTGCAGCGTTGCTGGGGTGGGTGGGTACTGAAGGCATCTGGCTGTTGTAGCCGAGGTCACTGGTGCATTCTGGGGTGGGTGGGTACTGAAGGCTGTTTTTCAAAGCCCAACCAATTCCATTACCTGTCGCTGCGGAACGATCAATGACATGGGCTTCAATGATAAACTTACTGACAGTGTGCCTCCACGTTTTGATCTTTCTTTTCTGCCTATAACGTGAGAATTTCAGAGCTTTTCAAGCTGCCAATGTACGTTTCCAACTATTTCGTCAAAATACATGTTGTTTTGCACATTTGGTGAGGAGTTTAGGGGGGTTTACATTCCCCCCGTTTTCTGAAATGTCAAGGGGCATCAACAACGGACTGTGGACTGCGTTGGCCAGGAATGAGAAATGTAGGTTGGGCGCGACATAACCTGTCTGCAGCTGCCGTAAAACTGGTCACGTTCATGGTATCTTTTTTCATAAGCTGCGGCATAATTCGTGGTTCTACGTTGGACATGACGGTATTGTGAGCGCTGGGCCCCCTCCGGTGCTGTTTCTCTGATAATAAAAAAAACGTGAGTGTATTCGTTACATAAAGCTGGCCAGATTCGTGCTAATTTGGCATAAATGTTGCATGGACGGGACCTTGGCAAGAATGTTTCTATGTTGAACTACCAGTAGTACTTCCTAAAGCCGTGCCCGGTAACAAGCCAGGATTTTAGGAAATGTACGGGTCACTACAGGAGTGGGCAAATTCATCCGACTAGAAAAGTTGGTACTTCATTTTTTTATCTACGGCTGATAGCTGGGCCAAGTACTGGCGGTTTAAGAATGCACGTACGTAGCCGCAAAACTGGCCAGGTTCATGATATAAATACGGGCGCTTTTTACGAGATTTGATTAATGTCCCCCTTACTAGGCGTTCGAGCGATTTTCACTGTGGGTGCGATGATATGCGTGGGACATACTCTACTAGGAAGACAACGGTATGCGTTTTTTCCCTTTTTTTTCTTTTTTTTCTTTTTGGTAATGGTATGCATGATTTCGTGTAGTCAGACAACTGAAGAAAAAGGACAGCATTATTTCCTAAGGCGAAAAAAAACAAAAATCGAGATTGCCTTTTTTTTTTTTTGTAAATTGAGGTACGATCTCTGTGACTCCGCAAGGCGACGGGCATGTGGATAGCCTCCTCAACAGCCACCCGTAAGCAGCCGGTCGAAACGCGTAGGGGGAGAAAAAAAAATACAAACAAGAAATGCGTAGAGGGATGTGCGCCTGTTCTGAGAACAGAAGCATGCAGAGCTTGTATTTCCTTTTCTTTTTTTCGTCTTGAAAACAGGGGCCCAGTGCCTGAGGCTCAGATTATCAGTTTGTATTCCAAGTTACGGAAGCATGTATCGGAAGCAATTTGCCCATTTTTGCTTGTCACTTCTTTTTTTATTTTTTATTTTTATTTTTTATTTGGACCATATTTCGATTTAATATGCGTATCATCCGTTTGCGCAGGGGCCATGCTAATCTTTTCTGTATCGTTCCAACTGTAACGGATGTCCCGAAGGACCTGCTTGTGACTTCACACTTTTTTTGTGATTTGAGGTACAATGCATCGAACTCACGGGCTCTTCCCTCTGTCTGTCGCCACGTGGCAGGGCCCACGCATGTTACTGGGAAGGTATCGGGTCTAAAGCCCGGTCTGCACGGATTCCACATCCATCAGCATGGAGACACAACGAGCGGCTGCATGTCAACAGGTGAGTCTCTCGGTCGGTGGGAGGGGTATACGACTCGGATGTCTGGGTACCAATGGGAGTCTCACGGTCGTGTGCAGCTGCCCCCCATTAACCTACCGTCTTCCCCCGAACACAACGCACCCTCATTTTGGCTGTTTCTGGCCGGAAATACAGCTTGTATACATTCATTTTAAGGGTGCGTTATGTTCGGGGGAAGACGGGAGTCTTGGATCCATGGACTTACTAAAATTTCTCTTTGCTTGCCGGTGATAAGCAACCACACTGCTGCCTCCCAGAATGGGAGGGGCATCCTTGTGAGTGTGTGGTTACAAAAAGAAAAAAAAACAGGTGTCTCGGTCACACCTACGCTTCGTTCCCTCGGCATTAACACCATAATTGGAATCAAGATGATATGAGTGCTCGACAAAGATAATCAGTTCATTCTAGTGGTTATCAGTCATCACTGATCTGCACGTGACGACCGAAAGAGGAAAGGGAAAAAGGAAAAGATCATCTGAACTAACGGAAAACAAACAAGGTGGGAGTTGTTCGGTTTGTCAGAACTCGCGTAGTTTTGGAATGTGGATGCATGCTCAACTATATGATGATGATGATGACGATGATGATGATAACCGTTCCCTGATGACGATGATGTTGATGATGATTGACACCGATGATGGTGATGATGGTGATGATGGCGATGAGGATAGCCATTCCTTGACGACGATGATGTTGATGATGAGTGATGCTGCTGCTGCTGCTGCGGATGGTGATGGTGATGGTGATGGTGAGGATGCTGAAGGTGATGTTGATGTCAATGACCGTCGTGATAACGTGACGACAAGATGAATGCGTCGATTTGCATGAGCGACTTACAACCCACTCACTGCCTCCTCTGAAAATCGGCATGGTCTTTTTTTTGTTTTTTCCTGTTTTCTGTTTTTAACATCTGCCGGTGTTACTGCCCGGGGTGATTATAGCAGCCCCGGGTAGTACCCCACCCCGCAGATGGCCACGTGTCACTTGGTGGCAGGGCCGATCCCTGCTGTGCTGGCATGAAAAGAGAGAAGTGTGGCCATCGGGTCATCAATCCAATGGACCAACGGGAAAAGGGTGCTCGGGAGGGCATTCTGCTAACCAGGTTGAAATTAGGTATACTTGGAAAGTTGAAACACGGTCTCGTAAAAAAAAAAAAGAAAAGAAAAAAAAAAGACGATCACGTCAATCCAACGGGCCAAATGTAACTTGAAGTCGCAGTCTTGACGCCAGAAGTGAACTGGAAGAGCTTTCTGAAATAACGGCTTAGGGGTTTGGTTGGGGTTAGCTTGGTTTTGTGGTTCTTGTTTCCGCTGTGTTGTTGGGCTGAAGTCCACGTAACCTATCAGCCTTACATCACATTTGCCTATCAGCCGGACAAAAATAAATAAATAAATAAATAAATAAATAAATAAATAAATAAATAAATAAATAAATAAATAAATAAATAAATAAATAAATAAAAAATGAAAAAAAAAAACAAAAAACAAAAAAAAAAAAACGTAACCGAAGCTGGGTAATGGGCCCAGTAGTCCCGTTGTGTTGTTCCGGGTTGTTTGTGAGTAATTCCCGCCCTCATATTGGTCTATTATGGAACGCCTTGCTTCCCCCCCAAAAAAAGACGAAAAAAGAAAAAGAAACAATGGCTTATCGGCAGTAATCTGACAGCACTGTTATTTTTGAGTTAACGTTCGTTATGTTCTGCAGAAACACTGCAGCCGCTATCGTGATTTTTGAATTCAATGCCTTAGCTTGACACATGTATCTGGTCTCGATTCTTTGCCAGGTCCTCACTTCAACCCCAGTGGAAAGACACATGGGGCGCCAGTCGATGAAGAACGTCACGCCGGTGATTTGGGTAATGCCGTTGCATCCGAGGATGGTAAGTCAGTACCCTGCTTCAACTTTTCGAATGCGCTCATGTCATTAGCAAAACCGAATGCTTTTTTTTTTTTTTTTCTTGGGCAAAACTGAAGGCTATGAAAGGCCAACAAACAGAGTTGATGATTTGATTGCTTTCACCGCAGCGGCTGCTTCTTTTTTTTTTTTTTTTCAGCGGCTGCTTTTCGTGCAGGGCGGCCGACCGTGCACGGACCAAAGAAGGTCCCAGCAAAAGAAAGAAAAGAAATCCAAACAGTCTGAGAAAAAAATGTTATGCCGAAAAAAAACTGAACTTGTGCCTCACGGTCACATCGGAATTCTTTACCAGATTCAAAAAATAAAATCGAAAACATTTTTTATTTTTTTGCAGCAGCTGGTAGCCTAGCCCTGCCCGGGCCACTCTGGTAGCCTAGCCCGGGCCACTCTGGTAGCCTAGCCCGGGCCAATCTGGTAGCCTATATCTCCTGCAGAAATTGACAATTTGGACAATCCTTTGTCAACTGAGTGACCTTACGATTTTCATGAATTGCTGCAGCTGTGTCTGCTGTCCGCTTTTGCTGTCGCTTTTGCTTCACGAGGCATTAATTTTGCACGTGTACTCAGGAGAAGAAACTGATAGATGGCAAAAGGCTCAACTCAGGGCATACTCACATTAGGTCTTTAATTACTAAGTTCTGGACGTGATTACAGTCATATACTCATCCGGTTCTGGCCATATTTGCAGTCAGATACATTTAGCAAAGTGGTAGTAGTGTGAGTATGGGCTCAGAAGAAGGGACAGATGCTTAGCTTTGGTTGTAATCGGAATGTCAAGCTGAACTCTGTTCACGGCGTTTGCTACTGTTTCCGTCTCCTGCTACCGTCTTCAGCCGAATAGGACGCCCGGTCATTATAGCTACATTTGGCACAACTTTCAGTCCAGATGCAGCCATAATTACGGGGCGTTTTATTTGTGTGAAGATGGTAGTGCTAGATGGTAGTGCTTTTGCCCCCTGCAGAGGTATAATTGGAGTTGGGTGTGATGTCCTTGGAGGGAGTCTGTGAGGTAGGTACTACGGGGGAATGCTTTTATAAATTTATATACCTCAGAAGTACCACCAGCAGATGTTTTTAACAAACAAAAAAGAAAAGAAAGACGTCGTCAGTGCGAAGAATTCTTGTAAGAAAAGAAAAAGAAAAAAAAACACCAGTTCTGATTGGGGCTCTGTGGCCACGTCCCAGTAGCAGCGTTGAGCTACCTCAACGCCTGAATCTGGACGCTTTTGCGGAGATGTGCAGAAATGGTGTCCAGTTCCTGAACTGCACGTCTCCACAAACACGTCCAGATTCAGGCGTTGAGGTAGCTCAACGCCGCTAGTGGGACTTGGCCCCTGGACCCCTCCTTAATACTATTTGCTTTCCTGACCTGAAAAAACGTTTTCTGTTCTTCGTTGGCGTTCTATTGGATGCAGGGGTGGCGGAGATCGATCTCACAGATTCGCAGGTAGGAGCAAAGTGCTGACATTGACCCTGGCTCCACTACCCTCGAAATGTGCAAAAAGGGGAATGAATCTTCGGCTACAACATGGAAAGATACAGCGCCATATTTTGTCTTTTGTGCATGTGGGGGGTAGTGGAGGGAGGCCCGTTCTTTTATGTATTGCCCCATTCGCTGCTGTTTCCCTCCTTCGTTTTTCTTCTTCTTCTTCTTCTTCTGCTTCTTATTCTTCTTCTTCTTCTTCGTCTTTTTTAATACAACCCCCTCCATTGCTAGTGGTGCTGATAAGAGCAGACACCGCTAGCACCTAGGGGGAGGCTCCATTTATTGTTGGGGACTCTGGGGAGCATCACCTGCTGGAAAACGGGTCCAGCGTCTCATATATAGAAAGAAATTGGAGGATATCAGGTTTTGAGAGTTGCCTGCACTTCACATAATTGATCGGCATTAATTTTTTATCCAGTTCCTAAATATCGGCATTTTTTCTGTTGGATGTCTTTCGTATATCTAAGCTTTTTATGCAAAATTAGAGGTACAACATCCACCGAACGAGCGCTGCTGCTCTATAGCATAAATACCAGGAAAAAACTCAAGCAAGCCCAGCGGTGGATGTTGCACCTTCAATTTTTCATCCCGTTCACAAGGCAAGCCTGGCAGTGTTTCCTGGTCCACGAACATTGCCACACATTCGTTGCCAATTTTTTTTTTTTTTTTTTTTTTTTTTTTTTAACGTTGCTAATGTCTTTAAATTTTGGTTTTGAATTTGTAGTAACTGCATGTTTTAGACTAATGAAGATGTTTTTTTTCCTTTTTTGTTAATGACGTCTTGGTCGTGTTTCGTTTTTAAGTCCTATCGTGGGCCTGTTCATTGTCCGATGAGGATAGAATGATTCTGTTGCTATTACTTGCTAAGCTTTTTGTGACCGCTGCTAGCTGTTGCTATTACTTGCTGAGCTCTTAAATTTGTGACCGCTTTTGGAAATGGGCATTCGACTTCGTCACTATTTGTGATTGGCTAACCAGATGTAAACCAACTGGTTGCTTTCACCGTGGGTAACTTGTGGGTGCAGATCCCTCTGACTGGAGTTAACTCTATCCTTGGTAGGGCCGTCGTCGTGCATGCAGATCCTGATGATCTGGGAAAGGGTGAGTGTCTATCAATGGTCACTTCCAATCATCCACTCCACCCCCTCCCCTCCAATCCTCTCCCTCCCCTCTCCCTCTCCCCTCCTCTCCCCTCCTCTCCCCTCCTCTACACTGTGGTGTGTGTTCCTGCCCCCCCTCCCCCCCCCCGAACCAAATGATATATTCCAATGAGTCCGGAGGGTGGCAAAAAGGGGGAAATTAGAAAGAAAAGGGTTTTTTCCTCGGAGGGTGGCAAAAAAGGGGAACATAAAAAAGGATAGTGGCTTTTCCTTCTTCTTTGGTTTAGTGTGTGCAACCACCGGTTATGGCTTCTACAGCAGACGGTTGTGCCGCTTTGCTGCCTTTTCATTCTTTTGTGCTGAAATGGTACTACAGACTGATATTTTCTTATTTTGGTTTGTGTGCATATCTTTTCCCTTTTTTTCGTCTTTGTATCCACCGTCTAGTATAGGGAAAGGAGAAGAAGAGGTCAAAATTTAAGAGCCTACGGGCCTTGCTCCACTAGTTGCCAAATGTGCAAAATGAGAATGAATCTTCCGCTACAGCACGGGCAGATTTACTGCCAGAGTTTTTGTATTTTGTACATGTGACAGTAGTGGAGCGAGGCCCTTATCTGTTTGGATTCCAGGAAATAATTGTCCTTCCAGACATATACTAAATTAGGTAGGCTACGAGACGATTAGCATGGCCCCTGTGCAGGACCCAAATCATTTTTCTTGGAGTCTGGGGAAAAGAACACTGGCTGTCAGAGGCTGACCTTGGATTTGCCATATCAACGGCCTGCTTGACGTGCTCGCTTGCAGCGGAAGCAAAATTTTCAGTGGTCTCTCACCGAAATCGAACAAATGGAAATTATTCAACCTTTTTTTTTTTTTTTTTTTGTTTTGTTTAAGTTGCCTCCTCGTCATCGGGGAGCAGCCATATATTTTTCTCTCACCTCACATAGAAGATTTCGTGTCTGTTCTGTGTGAATGACAAAGAAGGGAGTAAACGAAAAAGAGAGGGACGGGTGTTAAAACTGGGCCTTCTGAATCATGGCTGATTTCAAGGGGTGGGATTTTCAAATTTGTTGGTGTTCGAGGGAGTGGGTGGTGCGGGCTGTGAGCACTGTGAGGTCGGGCTTGGGAGGGGGCAACGAAAGGCTTAGGCTCAGTATTCACAAGGTTAATCATACTTACCTCACCCCAGATGACGCAGTCATAGCCTCAATATCATCTAGTACAAGGTTAATAGAACGCAGTCACACCTACGGGATGCCTTGCATGCATAGAATTGACATCGGGATCCCATCTAAGACTTGTCCCTTTGCGTGGATGATGCTTACTCCCTGCTCCTCTCCTCCTCTGCTCTTCTACCTCACACACTTGCAGGTGGCCACGAGTTGAGCAAGACGACAGGGAATGCCGGTGGTCGGCTCGCGTGCGGTGAGTTTATGTTCCTCTTGCTTGAATTCACAGCCCCTAAGTACCTGTCTCCCTTGCTGTGCTCTGCGCTGCGTCTCTCTTTTTGTCTGCAATTTTGGCCCCTCAGCTTAACCGCCTCTCTGTACCGAAACATGTGAGAACCAATATGTGGAGCGAGTCAGTGGTGTTGGATGGATGGATTATAATTTGTGTCGGTTAGCAGGCCTCTTCTTTCTCCCGGTATTGAAAGAAGATTTTTTTTTTTTTTTCACTCTCTGGCTCAGTACCTCACGAGACTCCTCTCTTCTACCTCTAGATGTTCGTTGGTGCAACCCCACCTCCCTCCATCCTACCTCACTCAAGGACTGTCACTCTGTACTGGAGCAACCTGACCGGGCAGCGGTCGGTGGCATCAGTGCTGATTGGAACCCCTTCCAGCCCTGGTTGGCTCTCGGAGTACTGGTACCTTGGGAACTACCGGTAGGTGTGTACCTATTATTACTACCAGCCTCATGAGCAGACCCAAGGGTGCCCATCTCGACAGGGGCCCATGCCTAGAGTTCACTGCTTCGAGATACCCTAGGCAGTGTCTGATGGCCATCTGGTGAAGGTGTGACCTATCTGCCATACTCTAAGCACCTCTGCCTACTTAGCATAGTTGTATTCTGCATGATTATGTAATATGATTAATCTGTAGGTCTGCGTGATTCTGTATGTATGTTGTGTTGCTTTCTGTATAAAACTGTGCAGGTCTGGATGATTCTGTACAGTCGGTGTAAGTCCGTAGTCGGCAGTATGTGTATGGTTAATCTGTATTCTGCAGTTATGGTTGCCCCCTTGGAGTCCTAGCCTCGTAATGTGTGTGTCTGCATATCTGCTGTGAGTCTGTGTATGCCTGTTGCACCATATGTTCTGTGCTATGGGATTAATTGTCTACTCTGCTGCCTAACCCGGTGGAACTACCCTGTCACCAGCACAGCGGGGGTCCACACGGGGTCCACACCCGACCCTCCATACAGGTATGGACCCTGCATACCCCACCCACCTCCTCGAGACTCAGACCACGCCCCTGCTCTGCACTCACTCCCTCTGAGGACCTCACCGCTCTCCATGCAGAGTGATGGTCCCTCTACCCTTGTCCCAACTACTGCCTAACCCAGTGGAACTACCCTGGCACCCGCTTGGCGGTGGCCATACCCTCCAGCCTTGGTATGGGTGCAGACCCTGCAATTCCCACCGCCCTCCTTGCGATTCAGGGTAGTAGACCTTCTCCCTTACTCTGCACTTGCTCCCTCCAAGGACATTGCTTCCCTCCATGATGATGCCTGTGCAGAATGGTGATCCCACCCCCACCCCCACCCCCCTCAGACACCCTGCTCGCCTAACAATTCCGTATATGTCCCATGTGTTACAGTGCCTCCTCTGTTCTGCTCAGGGGTGCCAATCTAGCACCAACTGATTGTGGACCGGTGAGGTTGAGGGCCGAGGGAGTCGAACTTGCAACCTTCCCGTTGCAACGCCGGAGCTCTAACCAACTGAGCTACTATGTCTTGTCCTGAAAGAAGTAATAATGTGCGTGAGCAGGAGTCTTGGAGTTTGTCTTGGCTTTTCATTAGCCTTCTCCTTTTCATTGTTGGTTGTCTGCGTTGTATTTGCTGCTATTGCCATTGTTGCTGTTGTGCTTGTTGCTTTGCTGTTCTAGTTGTTGTTGGTGTTGCTGTTCTTCTTTTTTCTGAGGGTTACTGACTTGCTGCTTTCCTCTTGCAGCCATCTGAATTTAATGTGCTGGAAAACAACGTTACCAAAGTGGCCCCAGACCACTTGCCTGGTGGTGCCAAATATGTGTATGTACATACACATATGCCAGCGGCGTGTCTGGAGTGTATTTTTTGGCTGTGACAGACCTTTCTTTGTTTCGTGGGTGTTTTGCTGGCTTGTGATGGGGTGTGAACCGACAGTCTGTAGAGTTTTCCATCTGGTGTGAGTGAGTGATAGTCTACTTTGATTTTGGTTAAGGTGGATTATCACTTACAGTGTAATCAGTGAGGGGATTCTACAGACTGTTGAGGGTTCAGCCTCCTGATGAGTCGGTTAAACTCCGAC